TTTTTTTTTTTTTTTACAAACCCTTGCCAAACCAACCTTGTACACAACAGCCAAGGACCAGACTGTATATGAAATGGAGGCTGGAGGAGGGGCGATGGATGGAGGAGTTCTTAATCTTGGGAGCTGAAGGCACGAAGCGGCAATTCTTAAAAGAAGTAGAAAAGTTAGTAGCTCCAGAAAGAAAAGATGCAGCTATTCCCCAGTAGTCAGAATGGCGAATAACATTTTGCCATTTCGGATAGGCAACAATAACAAAGAAGGACAAGGCCAGATGTATAACAGGGGAGGGGGCAGGGGGGCGGGCGCACTTCTGCCGCGCTTTTGGTCGGAGTGGAGATTGGGGACCCGAGCTCGCTGGTGACGTAGATCTCACGTGACCAGGAGTCGAAGTGTACCGAAGTCTTGCTAGTCTGGTCCTTGTTCGCGTCTGGGTATCACCTTTTCTTTAGCAGGCAAACCGCAGAGCCTGAGGGCAGTGGAAAGAGGAGTTAACTTGACGGAATTCTGCAGGTTGGTATCAAAATAGGTGCTGCCTGGGGACTTCTAGGGTGGGAGTGGCCTAGGGCAGAGACCTGGTCAAAGCCATCTCTCCACCTCCTACCTCCAAGTCTACAGAAAGTGACCTAGGAAAGGGCCTAGGGGTCCGGGAAGAAGGACAAGGAGAACTGTGATAGTTTAAAAATAATCATTCTCTGCCACTTCAGACTGCTTTCCCAACACCTCCCCTCCCCCCAACCCCTGCCCCAGTCTTAAAGATAGTTTGGAAATAATCTGCTTTTCTTACTCCTTGTCTGTTGGGAAATTCCAGCTAAATTGTACTGTGGGGCGGGGGTGGGGGTGGAAGAAGTGGGAGAAGCAGAAAGTGGGAAAGTTGTCATAACCAAGTACCTTAATGAGGAAAAAGGTACAAGGTGCTGGTCGCCCCACCAAGCGTTCGCCCCTCCCCTACTGCCACCCCTCCCCCATCTCCAACACATCCCACTCCCGTTTTCTGTTTGTCCGCAGGTCTGTTATTCTTAGCACTACACAAGGCTAGAAGAGGCAAGGAAGAAACTGTTCGGATCAGTACAGGTATATGAGGGAAATGTTATAAATACCCCTGGTGTCAAGGTGAGGCATGCACATGTCAGAGGTCCTGGGTCCCACTCTTCTTACCCGCCCCCCCTCCCCCCCCCCGACACACACCGCCTATTCTCCAACCTACGCTGTTCTAGGAGGGTCTTGGGTTTTGTCCGGCGTGGAAAAGGGGGGGGGGGGGGGGA